CTTCTGTGTCTGTGTTAATTGGTTTCCCTTTTCTTTGTTGAAGAGGGTCTGTGCAATCCTTCTGCCTAGTCCGCCATCTTGCTGGAACTCTATCTCCCAGGTCTTTTGAAAACTTTCACAAGATGCACCCCTGACTTGCACAACACCCATTAGGTAGAATGTAATAAATCTACTTTATCAATGGGGTAAGAGACACAGAGGTCATCAGTGAGAAGTGTGACCCAAATCTCTCAACACTCAAATAGGCTGTGCAGGTCCCCACTTGGTACCTCAGCCAAGTCAAGATTCTGCTCTAGAGTTTCTGGATTTCCAGAAGTCTCCCAGAGATCACAAGGGAAAAGACCTAATAGAAATTGCTACCTCTGTAACAAAACGATAGATAGAATCAGGCTGGATAATAACCCCTTACATGTATATACAACTTTAAATGTCAAATGTTTTGCAAACAATTACATATGTTTGGATGTTTATTAACTGGGTAAGCTTATACCCATCATAACATTTGTTCATTAGCAAAGCCTTAAAGAATGGACAAGGATTACTACACCAATTTTTGGGTCACAGATGCTGAATTTGGGGGCACTGCCTCTATGCTCCTTTGAAAGCTAAAGAATAGTCTTATACAACTTTTAGGAATTACGAGAAAGTGTTGGTTTGAAATAATGTCTATAAACTCCAGGGAGATGGTGACCTGACAGCTACCCAGCTATCAGTTATGGTTTCAAGATATTGGCTATAAATAAACACACATACATGCAAAACACATACTAATGAATAAACCAGTGGAAAGTTTTCATACTGACAAACTTGTCACCAGAAACAGAGTATGAAAAGATAAACAGCAAAACAAACCCGAGTCTGATCAGCACGTTAATAGCTGAGGTCTTTATTTCAATTTGTATATACAGTAAAAGTGCTGCCGAGAATCTGCAGCAACCAGACAAAACATAAATGTAATTCTCTCTCAACAATTAGCAGCTTAAGATCTATCAACTACAGTGTTAACGTTCACACGTTCACAAGTGTCATTTCTGTACTTTTCAATTCGTGCAAGTGAGTTTTTATTCTTACACACTTTGATATTACACACTTACAGTCTAGTAGTCAATGCCTACTGAGGGTATCACCTAGCATACACAACAGACAGAAATGTTAACTCTTAGTGCCACATTCAAAATCCCCAGTTTCATTTGGGTTTGGGGATGGATATGTGGGAACTGTAATTTTCCCTGTGTCAGTTTGTTGATTATAATGTTTGGTTTTGTCTTGGATGCATATTTCCCAAAGCTGAATAACAGCTTCTCATTAGAACTCACTCAGAATTCATTTCATCTGACTGTACCGCAAAGAAATATGAAATCAGAAACAAAACCAAGAGCAGTGAAGGTCACATGAAAATACACCCATTAGTACATGGCTAGCAAGGAAGGCTTGATCCCAGGATTTTTCTTGGCATCAGATTTTTGCCTTGGTTGGGTAGTGGTGGTACAGGGGAGAGAGAAGATCCCAGTCTGTAAGCGTAGAATTCAACCTACTTGTATTTCTTAAGGAGCCAGTGGAGTAGAAAGCCTTCCTTACTAGGATTCAATGAGTATATAAACCATGGAATCAAAATCGGGGCAGGCAGAAGTGCCCTTTAACTGTCATAAAAAATGTAAAATGTTAGTCATTCTCCAACTTGAACAGAGTCACCCAGGCCAATCCAGCCAGCCTCACTCACCCAGGCTAGGCACCAGCACTTACAAGTAATTCAGGAATGCTTCATTTCAAGGGTAATGCACACAGTCTTTCTAAGAGAAGAATCATTAAAGCTAGGGTTAAGTTTCCAACCATAGAACAATTGTTAAACCATTACAGCAAGGTTCTCTTGAATAGGCAAGAGAACTTAAGAACAGCCATGATATGATGCAAAGAAACTCAAAGGCAACAGGGATGGGCAGCAGAAGTAGACAGTTGGGGAGGGCATGGAAACAGGGGCATGATTACAAACAGCATTAAATGCACACAACCGTTGGGCCCAGTCAACAATTCAAGGGACAAGAAAGCTAGAAAGCCATTATTGTGCCTAACCTGTACTGAGAGTCCTTCCTAAGATAATCTGAGAAAGAAGCATGGAAAGCCAGCGTGGCCCTGTTTGGCTGGGAGCTTTGGGGGCCTTCCAGAGGTCAAAACCTCCCTTTGATAGAAATGGTCTCAAGGCAGATGGGAATAATTTCAATCTATCTTCTAGTGCCCACCAAACTTAGCAGCCTCCATACAGCTTACAGAACTCAAAGGTTCTAACTTAGGAAAACTGGAGGAGTGCTGCTAGAGCATCTTTTCAGTAACTGTGTGGGGCTCTCATCTCTACTCTGAGTGATTTAGCTACAGCAGAAAGGGAGAAGCTGTGCCATTTCAACCAGGTTGTAGGGTCCCCTAGGCTTCTGCCTAAAGTCAACGCAATGATTTTAGGCAAAGTTAACATTTTAAGTATCTAGGCTTGGGAACAACTTGTTTTTGGCATGAACATGAATTGGTTGTAATCATATTTAAAAGAAAAATTACTCATGTGGTCCCTGCTCTGGGTGCTAATTTTGAGAGGGCAGAAGAGCTAACACGTGCACTACAATCATCTGGAGTTGGGCAAAGGTTGGGGTACCTGAGTTAAAATATCAAAGTGATTATGGAAACAACATGCTGACTCTGAGCAGGCCAGCCTGTCCAAGCAAAAGGAGGCTGGAGCTGTCCTGAAAACCATCCTTTTAGATAGGGCAATGATACTCTAATTCCAAAAGCATTTCCTGGTATGGGGGAAATATGCAGAACATGCTTTGCTCAACTTTTCAGGACATATTATATGCTCCTTGCTCATCAGTTGGTTGCATAAATGAGGCCAAGAGGGAACAGCAGGTATGACCCAATACTACAAATAATACAAAAAGATTAACCAAGCTCTACAGATAAACCTCTAAAGTTTTAGTTCCACCAGGATGATGCAATTGGTTAAAGGATGGGGAAGACGGCTAAGTCAATTTTTCAAAACTGTCTATACATGTTCACTGAGCATACTTACGCTATTAAGTCAGTCTAGATCAACAGGAAGTGGCCAAAGTTCAAATGCAAAACCTGAGTCCTTCTAATCTGACATTTCCTTTTCTGCTCAGCTTCAGTTGATTCTCTTAGGCAGACAGAATAAAGCTTTGAAATTAAGGATTCTGGGGCCAAAATGCAGACAGAAGACTCCACATCACTTTGGTTTCAGTAATTAGGGGATGTTAAAAATAAATTAAGGAAACATAAAGAATTATTTATGACTGTCATAATAGTCTCAATTTTTCCTAAAGACAACCCCAGCCCAATGTCACTGGGTGGACATTTTCTTGGGGCAAAACAAAACAAAACAAAACCCAACAAGACCCCTATCCTACCATACTAGTTTGTGAAACAGCCTCCCTCTCTCTCCACACACCCCTTTCCTTTCCAACCAAGCCAAGCCCATCAAGTGGTGATACGGGGGTGGAAGGGACACCAAAAAGCAGCAGCAGCAGCCAGCAGCCAGAAGAGGGAGTTTAAGCTGCATCTCAAAACAAGGGCAGCAGAGGGCAGCATTTACAGCAAGTCTTACTTTACTCAAACTGTTTCAAAACAAGGGGGAGCAGCACACTTTTAAGTATCCACACATTTCTTCATTTAAAAACATCACTTCTTTATTTCAAAGGAAAAATAAAAGACCCTCCCAACCCTTTCCAAAAAAACCCAATAATAATAATAACAATAAAAAATCCTATTAGAAACCATAAGGAAGCACTGAGAGTTTGAGTATTACATTCTTCAAGTATGCTGTTCAGATTTTTTTTTTTTTTTAATTGGTAAATATACACATATTAAAAACAAAACAAAACCTTAAAAGTTCGGCCAAAGAATTTTGCTTAAAATTAAGTATTTAGAGGGCTACTTCAAAATACTGTAGTAGGACTGTGCAGTGATCCTGTGTGGGGCACGATGCTTTCACTTTTGTGTCCTAGCAAAGGTTAAGGGGCCAAGTTCAAAAGTGACCAGACTTCCAGGGTTAGCATGAGTGGCCAACTTGGGTGAGAGAGTCGGGGAGATCCACGTGTTCTTCCATGGACAAGGAAAATCCACCCTGAATCCAACCATTCAGACATGGAATGTGATAGGACTTCACAGTAAAGTTAGTCTGGGAAGGGGAAAGGTGAGGAGCCCAGACAAAGCAGGGTGCTTAGTTTAAATAGTTTGCCCTAATCAAGTTTTCCTCATTTTTTTTAAGTGGGTTTTTAGTGCAGTCATTCAAGCCACAATTTAGAATGCCCTTCAGTGTGCTCCAGATTGTTGGTTCATGTTAAAGGACTGTTTAAGATTTGCATCCCAAGGAAAATCATGCTACATAAAAATGATCCAAGATTTTCGCCCAAAAAACTTCTTGGATAAAATCTAAAAAAGACTATTGCAATTGTGTCTCTTGAAGAAAAAAAACATTATTCTAAATGTAAACAGATTCACTCAACTCTTTTGTTGCTGTAGAAAACTTCAGAGTAGGTTAAGTTGCTGTCTAATTCTTCGCTGCATGCACTCGCCAGAGGGTAAGGGGAGCAGCTGCCTTCTTGTGCCAGCATCATCTAGGGGATGAAAAGAACCGCTCCACATAGCTGAAGAGAGCATCCCAGTGCTTCCAGAGAAAGGCAATGAAAACCACAAGGAATAAAGTGCTGAACGTCCTGCTGCGAGTCTTCATAAGGGGAACCACGCAGTTGGCCACTGTGGAGACAAAGACTAAAAGGACCGCCATGACAGCAAGAAGGATGTTGATCAGTTTACCCAGAAGGTTCCGGGCAGTGGCATTCTCCAGCCCTTCCAGCTGTACTACCTGCTGCTGCTGCTGCTGTAGCTCCATCTTGGAGATGCGGGTCTGGCATGCCTCCAGGGCTTCCTGTGGGCCAGAATAGGGAATAGTTAAGCCTTCTGCTCACACATACCACGTGGCTGACATGCTCCTTGGGTATGCCAGATGACTCCTGAGCCATGCTAATGATTTCAAATATGCTAGAGCTTGAATGTGAAAGGCCAAAGGCATAGCTCATATTCAAGTAATTATTAATCACCTAACTGCCTTCCAATGAATTTCTGTAGGATGGCCAACAGGAAACAGTGGCTACACTTAAATTTGGTCTTGAACATTTTAATGATAGGACTACAAAGAAATTATTTGCTGCTTCTTTTTCACTTTAAAAATTATTAATGTAGGTTACACAATTTACAAACACTTGTTCAACATAAAAAAGTCCAACTAGGACATTGCCCTTGATAGTTTCCTCAATTCCAGTCCTTGCCCTGAGATCACACTGTTAGTTTGGTTGTGTTCATCCTCTCGCCTGTGTTTAAGTGTACACATATATGTACCTAGGGAGATGTAAGGAGTTATTTTTGATTTTTTGTTTCAATATAAATAGTATCATACAACAGGAAATGATTTGCAGTTCACTTTTTTCCACTCAAACTGTGGCTTGGCAGTCTTTCTGTATCAGTATGTAGCGATCACCTCATTCTTTTTAATAGCTACATAGCATTTTATAGAATGGATATATTAGAATTCACTTAGCCAGTTTCCTCCTGGGGGGATATTTAGTTTGTTTCCAATTTTCCCACTATAGTAACAATGCCGTGGGCATCCTTTGGACATGCTTCCTTGTAATGTACTACCTGGGTACGCTTCCCTTTTTAGGCTCATCTCTGTAAAGGGAGCTATACCTAAGCACTAGACCAAATTTTAAAAATGATCTATAACCTTCAAGGCCAGGGCCTTCACCATGAGTTAATATAAATTTCATCATAATATTCAGGGCGAAAAAATCCACTTCCCTAGTTGTGGTCAGTTATGCTCCAAAATTCAGCAGTAGCTTGAGCCCTTAGTTTTTCTGGTCCTGGTTTCCTGGTGTTTTAAGTGAGGCCCTGGCAACTGCAGACTGAGGCCAGCTGAGAATAGACGGTGGATGCTATTAAGCACAGGAAAAATCTTCAAGGGAAAAAACTAAACCATAAACAGAATTCTGGGATCTGCAGAAGATGACAGCTGGGCAAATGATCTAGACAGTCCCTTGATTCTTTTAGACTGTCGTAATACAAGTTTCCTGGGTCACTTCCCTTCTCTCAGACTAGGTTATTTCACATGAAAACCACTAAGAGCTGTTTACTTAGAAATGCTTCCCAACTGGGGTTAAAACAAAACAAAACAGAATTAAATGCTCCAGTTTCCCATACAATAGCTGGGCTATTGGCCTAAAACATTACCGTCTCATGTGCTATGTGCCTGTAAAAGGTTTGGATTTGGTAATTAGGAGGATGAAAGCCCCTTGCTCATAGAAGGATAAGACAGGCAAGATGGCTGCGAGACTTGTCAGAGCAGCTCTTGAAGCAGTAAACAATAGATGTAATGCATATATATAGTTCTCCATAGACTGCTACTACCGTGCCCTAAGAAACATTTCCCAAGAACTCAAGCAGGCACACCATCCCTATGAGAAATGCACCTCATTCGAAGGGTTAGGTGTATTGCATTTGGTATAAGCTTCTCTTCATACTCTTATCCTTCCTATCGTTTGTTCTTCCTCTATTTTTCTTTGTAATTCTCTAGTCTTTTGCTTTATGCTTGATCCTTCATGCTGACCTGGATGTCCCGGGCTCGTTCATAGGACTGATAAGCGATTTTCTCTTCCATGCTGGCCAATTCCTGCTTCAAGTTCAAGATTTCATTCTGGTGGAGCTCTGTTAGGTCATTTAGTTGTTCTTCTAGTCGTTCACATCTAAGGGGAGATGGGTAGAACAATCAGAATTTAATGCAAGTTGTATTTTTCCTTCACATTTAACCCCTAAAACCCATTCAACACCAAAAATCCATTCTGCAAAGGAAGAAACTAAAAGCACAAATAAATTGAGTGAGTGGCCTGGGGTAAGAGGATATACCAGTGGGTACAACCAGGATTAGAACTCTTAGTTCCTGGAGTGGACAGCTTGTCACAAGGGCATACCATAACAGCAACATGGCTTTTCCACAATCTTCTCAACACACAGCATTTGCAAGGATGCCAGCAGCTCAGGTAGCTTTCAGTGTACCTGTAATACTGAAGCCATTCTTATTCTGTATGAGCTACATATGGGGAGGCAGAAACTAGTGAACAATTATGCAGATCTCATCAGAAGATAAATGGCACATAAATGGAAATCGACTTTTTACAAGTCACCAGTAATTTATCCCAACACTGGACAGCTCACTTACCTGGATGTTCACGATTTAGAGCCCAAGAATGCCAGAACCAGAAGGACCTATCATTCCATAGTCAAGCACAATGCCCGGAACATATCAGTCAACAAATATTTACTTAGGGCCTGCTGTGTGCCAGGCAAGTTCAAAGTACTGGGAGTGCTGTGGTAAGCAAACAAGAGTGCCTGCCCTTGGGAGTTTACATTCTAAAGGGAGGACACAGAAAAACCAATAAGATTTCAGGTATGGATGAGTAAGATAAAGATAACTAGGAACATACAGTAGAAAGTACCTGGGGCCGGCTTAGCTGGAATGGTCAGGGAAGACCTCTGCTCTATTCAACCCTCTTCAACGATAAGAGTTGAAACCCGAATGATGAGAACAGAATCTTATCAAGTTGTGTGGGAAGAGTATGTTAAGCAGAAGGAACAGCAAGTATAAAGTTCCCAAGATGGAAACTAGCTCAGCATGCTTGAGAGACAGAAAGTAGGCTAGTATGGCCATAAACCAACAAACCCCACTGCTGCTGAGTCAGAGAGACCCTATAAGACAGAGCAGAACTGCCCCTAAGGGTTTCCAAGGCTGTAAGTCTTTATTAAGCTGATTGCCACATTTCTTTCCCTCAGAGCAAGTGATGAGTTTGAACCACCAACCTTTTGGTTACAAGCGCTTTACCACTGTACCACCAGGTTCCTTTTAGTGTGGCTATAGCTGAGTAAAAAACAGGGAAAATGGAGGAAGGTAAGACTTTTTGAAAGTAAGGATTATTTTATTCATCTTGTCTTTAGCACTTAGGACTACAGGTAAGAAGGTTTATTCTACATAAAGATGGAACTTGGATAGGCCATTCTAAGGACCAGCAGAATCACAACAGTTTAAAAGGTAAGATTAGAAATTCCAGGTAGCAGAAGAAAATGGGTTAAGAGCTGGAGGTAGAAAAGTATAGGAGACATTTAACTCAAATAGTGGGTCTATGCTGGAGAATAGAGGGAAATCAGCTTTAAAAGCTGGGCAGAGGAGCTGGAATAGTAATGGACCCGAAGTAGATTACTGAGTAGCAGTCACATGATGAACAGTGTTTTGAAAAAATGAGTTATCTTCAAAAGATTAGATAGGAAACTTAGGAAGCAGTGAGTTTATGTTAACAGAGGGGGAATAATTCAAAAAAGGAGGGTGAGAATGGTTGTGCAACTTGAAGAATGTAATCAATGTCAATGAATTGTACATGTAGAAATTGAATTGGTACATGTTCTACTGTACATATTCTCAACAACAAAAAATCAATTAGAAAAGGAAAGGAAAATGAAAATGAGTTATCTGAGAGTGGTGAAGAAGACAGATTGGGTGGATTGAGTGTGCAGTCCTAGGAACCAAACAAAGAGCTAAACAGGTAGGAGAAAGGTTGATGACTATAAATTAGACTAGCAACACAGAGTAGGAAAGAGAAGAGTAAAAATGTCTCTCGTCAATGGTGATTAGAATGGAAGCTGGACAGGGCTCATCTCAGCAGGAGAATAAACTACCAATGAGTGATACTCACACCACAGCAATACTAGGTAGGGGTGGACCACACTAGATGACACTGTCAGAGGGGTGACACCAAAATGACTATAAAATTTTTGTGCAGTATTTTAGCATAAACTTATTATTAAATAAATTAATAAACTGTAGGCATAGTGCCTAAGGCATGTGACTGCTAACTGGAAGGCTGGTGGTTCAAAACCACCAGCCACTCCTTGGAAGGAAGACTGGGCAATCTACCTCCATAGAGGTACCGCCTCAGAAACCCAAGGAGGGGTTGCTATGACTTGACAGCAGTGAGTGAGCTGTAGTTGGTTAAAAAACCTTTTTCCTAAGCCCAGCTTACATGCAGGAATATATCTACAAGGCTAAAATTCTATGCTTATTTACTTTTTTAATCTTCTAATGTGTTCTGGTCAGAGCTGTCATTATTATCCAATTCCAATGATACTTTGAATCACATGGTTTCATCTGCAGGCACTACAATGTAGCACATGCTATTCTTTTTGTTGCTGCTGCTGCTATTTTTATAGTAGCTGAGTTTGTCAAATTTTCTGATGCTTTAGCTACAGTATTGTGGCAATTAGTATTTGTGAGCCTGTATCAGTAAGTTTTTTGAGAATGAAGTAGTAATCAAAGGAAAAGAAGGAGAAAAATCTAAAAAGGCTTCCACTCAGTTACTAATAATGTTGTAATTAATATTGTTGTAATTCACTGTAGAAAGATTTTACAAAACAATTGTTGTTAGTATTCACATAATCTAAGAAATACTACTGTTAAGCAACTTACAACTATATTTATCACATATTATTCTAAGATTAAAACTGGTAATAAATATTACTAAGGATTTTGTATGGTCTGGTATGGGAAGAGATCCTTGGTGGGTGACAGTTAAGGTTGTGTTTCAACTTTGCGGGGCCTTCCATGGTTTTGAGTGGCTGGGCAGCTGGATGCAGATATTCCCCATGATGAGATTGTAATCAACTCCATAGTGGAATCTGCTGTGAGCAGCTAATTAGCTGCCTTTGGGGTATGACCTGCTTCTCCAATATATAAGGAGAAGATTTGAGAAAGGTCTCTAGCTTTTGGCCCATCTGGATCCTGCATTTGGCAAAGTCTTCATCTCAGCGGACTGCCACATTACCGGCTGATTTTGGGACTGTTCTTGGATTTGAACTAGTGGCCTGCCATGTTGTCTACTAATCTCAGGACTGAGCCATTTTACTCACTGATCTTAGGTTTGTCAGCTGTTGCGTGAGTCAGAAAAAGCCTCCAGCTCCAGTGAGCCTAGAACAGGAGGCAGAGCTGAGGGCCAAGGTCTAGTGGCCTTCATCCAACCTCTAGAGCCAACATATGAACTTAAACTTCTAGCTTCCTAAACTGTAAGAGAATAAATGCCTATTTGTTAATGCCATCCACCTGTGGTATGTCTGTTACAGCAGCATTAGAGAACCAAGACTGTGTGTGTGTGTGACACCATGAGTTACTGTACTGGGTGACACCAACCCTGTAACACCAATGACTCAGACAAACACAAACTTAACATTAGCATGTGAGCCTCATAGGACTTCATAATAAAATATTTGAAATGACAGAACTCAAACATTTGTCTCCCTCTTCTTCTTATTTTTCATCATATACATGGAGCTGTGGTGGCACAGTGCCTAAGGCATTTGACTGCTACCAGCCGCTCTGCGGAAGGAAGATGGGGCAATCTACTTCTGTAAAGATTTACTGCCTCGGAAACCCAATAGGGGTCACTATGAATTGGAATCAACTCGATGGCAGTGAATTTGGGTTTTTTTTTTTTTTTGGTTTATAATATATAAACTTCTAAGCAATACATGGAATTTCTATATTTACATTAATTTTTATGTTAGGGCATCACCAGCCTTCTTCCTTTCAATAATTAGATAATTATTTACTTCTGTCAAATGCTGTAAGATTACGTTAATATGTTGTCTTTCAATGATTGTCCTATTTTAGGCCATTGTTTTATGATCTTTGCAGTATTTGATAATTTCATCATTCTCTCTCCTTACCAGGAGCTCTGGTAGCATAGTGCCTAAGGCACCTGACTGCTAACTAGAAGGCTGGCGGTTCAAACCCACCAGACATTTCTCAGAAGGAAGACTGGGCAACCTACTTCCATAGCGATACTACCTTGGAAACCCAAGGAGGGGGTCGCTATGAGTTGACCCTTACCAGGAAGGGGCCAGCAGTTTAAAAAAATTTTTTTTTAATTGTAATTTGGGTGCAAATTTACAAAACAGATTTGTTTTACTCTCAACAGTTCATGTACATTTGGTTTCACGGCTCCAGTTAAAATCTCAACAATAAAAAGCTCTCCTCCCATCTCTTCCCTGTGACCCATCCTTTCCCTGTGTCCTCCTTATCAATGTATTCCTGTTTGTCCATCTTTCCTCTATGTGAATGTTACGCCTCTGATGTCTTACGGTTGACTGATTTAAGGGGTGCATCTCCCTGGGATAGGTGTTCTTCTTGTAGGCCTTTCTACTGTTTGGCTGAGAGCTAATCCATGGAAGTGAGTCTAGTCCAGGTGTCTTTCTGACCAGTAATTCTGGTCATTTTTGTGTTTTTGAATTTTGTTCCACATTTTTCCTCTCACTCTATGGGGCTGGCAATTTCTTAAAAGTGGTGTGTCAATGTGTCAGTACCTTGGGGCTTCAGGAAGGGCTCTGCTTGACCTCCTAAGCTAAGGATCCATGTTGAACGGCAGAGAAGAGAGCATAATTGCCGGGGCAACCAGCCAGCATGCTGATGAAAGCAGACTCATGTGACATCTTTGGCATGTGTTCTATGACCTACCACCCTAACCTCTTGGCCCACAAACTGTATGGTCTTACAAGCCCTTCAGAGAATCTTATTTCATATTAAGCATGGCTCATACATACCAGTAGAAAAGATTAAAAAATAACAGCATCTAGCAGCAGCAACAGCTACCATCTGTTCAGTCCCTATTAAGTGAATTCCTTTTTAGTATGTCTAAAAGGGTAGTAA